ACACTGCAATGCAGTACTATCGCCAAGCAAAGATTTGGCTCCTAGAGCAATTTCCTCAGCACCGAGCGTCACTGGAATCGCGGCTGCTTAAAATGAGGAAAACCCTAGATAGCTTTTGTTTGAAAATTAAATAATAACAGAGAAAAAACAAACCGTTTTTCCACAGCCATTCTTGAATGTCGACTTTAAGCCACCCTGACTTTTGTGGGCTTGGATTAATCTTACGCTTGTGGTACGATGCTCCATCTCAATAGATGTTGCAACGACCGTGTTTTTGCAGATTCTTGCATAAATCCTCAAATCAGCGCTCAAATTGGACGGCATCGAAATTGCCATGGTAATCGTCGCTATCTTGCTTCTCTTTAACCCTTTCGCGAACGGGTACTTTTGACATGACTATATTAAAGTATAGAAGGTCAAGTCATTAGACCATCAAAGGGGGCATTTTGCCCCCTTTCATAAACTACGGTACTACAGCAAATCTTCTGCAAATCCTTGTAGTTCAGTAGAAAGGGCGAATCCGCCTCGTCCAACACACAAAAAATAATGAAAGGGGGCATTTTGCCCCCATTCGTGGGTGACACGAGTGATGCTCAAGGATACGCCCTCCAAAGGGGGCAAAATGCCCCCATTGACCACGAAAGGGTTAAAGTGGTATTCTAAACCTTGATTGAATCTTCGACAACCCCCACTTTGTACTGCTCCTTTGCTTTTAATAATTCCTGCAGCAATAATGCACGCACTAACTAAAAACATAAACAACTATTAATATAATTGATTTTTAGCAAAACAAAATTTGCTTACCGAGCTCCTCGTCCAGTCTTACCGTAGCGAATCTTATCTGTTTAACAACCATGTCTTGCCTGTGACGTGGTTGACGTTGCAATAAGATTCGTCCAGGTAGACTTCTGCTCTGTCGACTCCGAGGCGGACGCTTCGCTTACTTCCTCTCATTGGACCACGCACAGCAACTCGATTTGCTACCTTTTTCTCTAAGTAGCTACGTCGGAACGCAAACATTACCGGGCGTTTCGGTGTAGATGTGCCGTTTTTCACCTTTTAAATGACGGAAGCCCAGTTCATGAAGGACCCGAGTCATAGTGTCCACCTCCAGCTGAGCGCCACACACGTCAGCAACTTCACTACATACATGTTGAGCAGTGATAGGCTGGCCTGCCATATTTGGGTTTACAACGAAGTCGCGAATCGCTAGAGCGATTGCATAAAGGTCAAACATGCGGGGCCTCCCCTGCTATTCGGAACAGGCTTTAGGAATACAGCACCAAAATATTAGATGCTCAAGGTAATTGATATGTAACTGTTAAATATCAAATGCATAAAGTTCTACCTCAAAGTCGGTCTTCTGACTCGCGTTATACACTGCAATTACGCGTGCTGCCGTGTCCGTTGAACAACCAAGGCTCTTAGCAACAAGTTCTCTCGTGCGCTTTCCGCTAAATAGCCCTTCTTTCTGTAGGGCGATAAAGGTGTAGCTCCTCACCATCATTTTCTTCTCAGCACTAGTGTACTCATGTCGCTCGACTTGCATTTTTCAAAATGAACGTAAAATAAGGACAAACGAGAGGTTGTAGTCGATCAAGGAGACTCCGGGCCATCCACTGCTGGTCCTAATGTTTGTATACGATTAGTATTCGCTGCATAATAACATTAAACCTGACCGGTTAAAATAACCGGTATCATGAATTATGCGGAGTACAATAAGAACTCTTCGGCTTTGGTATACACTAGCGCACTGCACGACAAGGAGCGAATGAGCAAGCCATTTCTCTTCTCTATATGACTCTTGAACAGATGGGGAATCTTGTACTTGTTGCTGCCGTTTACATCCATCGAAGCTTGTAGTACGGACTGCATCGTGACGAAAAATCTGTCAATAGTAGGTAGTCTAGCTGTTCGAAGGCTGTGTCGACGTTGTCAACGAGGTCCTCAATCGTTTTGGCTTTCTTTTTGTACTGTAAGGACTGCAGAGAAGCAAAGAAATCGAGATCATTTGCGTTGTAATCGGGCGAATTAGCTGGCTGTGGGCTAACGCTCATTTCCCATCCACCTTACGCACACGTAGTCAGCACCTCTGAGCCATCAGCAGCGACGTGCGGATTGCGTTATTGTGCTGAAGCACGACGCGCTTTCCGAAAGGCCACACCGCTTTAATGCGCGGATTGACCATACGACACAGCGCTCGGCGATACACGTCATGATCGACAGTAAATGCCTTCAACTCTAACGTACCAGTAGGGCGGTTCTTCCTCGAGCGCCGGTTCGTAAACAACAAATGGCCATAAACCTACCTTTCCGTCCCAGACACGGTGTCGCTTAGCATCACATCGTGGTCGCGCGACAGCGACAAGAAACATGACTTTGATGATGAAGTTCTTGTTTTTCACAGTAATATGAGGAACGGCTTCGTGCTCTCCGAGATAGAATCGCTGCTTCTCTTTGAGCAGATAAAGCCACTTTTCATCCAAATGCACGTAGTCCATCATGCTGTCGAACAACAGCGTGTTCCTTGGGCCTCGGTGCACGAATCCTAAAGCAAACTTGACTTGGTCGACATGCTGCTTCTCTGTTAGCATCTGCTTTACCCGTGTCGTGTGGCTGCGAAAGACACCAGCGCGATTGTAGGCATTTAGGGGCGATTTTGGAATACTTAGAGTACTCACTAAAGCGCGAATATCGATGCGATCCTCTAAAGGGATAAGTTTGATGGAACTGTTGAGGTCCTCGCAGAACGCTTTCGTTATGCGGAACTTGCGACCGCTCTTTCCCTCTTTACCGCTGTCGTAGTTGATGGCTTTACCTGCTTTGATGCCCTGGACGGCTCTGCGCCACAAACGCGAGATCTGGCCGTCACTACAGCCATACTTGGCCGCGCAAGCTATGATGGAGCCTCTTGGTGGCTGTAGCGCGGTCCTAACGCTTAGTAGGAATGCTACGATCGTGGCACGATTCGTTGGAGTTAGGGTTTTGCGCGTCCTAGATTTTGGGGCGTAGCGTGCGCTCATTTTGGTAGACTTGCGAAGGGTATAGCTTGATATCTGGAGTAGTGACAGTCTTTGGGGGGGGGGGGGGGGCTATTGCTTGTGATCCAGTTGTCGGGTGGCCGCAGTAAAACCACGTGTCGAACCGGAAAGGGTTGTTCTAAAATTTTAACCAATCAAATTTGCATAAGTTCGGATTGTCCGTCGAGACCCGCTTATATTTTCGGACGGAGGTAGCTTGCTACAATCGTGTTAGCAACTCTCTGTTAACCCTACGCGTTGTTGCGGAAACTACTAAGCCGCAAGGTACATGTATTTGGAATACTACCCAGAGGGAAATTTGGCCTTAACTTTAGGACAAAAGTTCTCAAATTCAATAGTATAAGCAAGCGGAAAAATTAATCCCATCCAAGTGACGTCAGCTGTCATATTAGATCGAGACTATTGCGCTTGTCGCACTCGATTTTTGTCCTTGTAATCGGGATCTTATGGACAAAATCACGCGAATTTGACGCTTTTGTAGCTTATTTCATCCTCTTTTTAAGGGAATAATTTGCTGGGGGTAAGATAAGGTGAAGATATGTCGTTGGGCGCTCAGAACTTTGAAGAAGGGTTTAAATTGCAGCCATTCGCCGGCAAAACTAATTGGTCTTAAATCGTCCCCGAGGACACCTTTACCAACCACATACCTTAGCACGAAAGATCGCAGCTGCCATAGACGTCACAATGTAGTTTTACTTGGCTATTGTGTATTGCAGTGCTGATATTTTAATTACCCGGTGCACACTGCAAACCGTGGAAGACAGGAGCACGTTTCACTAATCCCTTCTTAAGTCCCAAATGCTGATCAGATACCGTATAAGAGTATCTCCACTGGTAGCGTAAAACTAAACGTAAATCCTTGCCGGATATAAAATCATGCAGGAGAGGTTTGCTCACACACACGCGCTCGGTCAGAAACTACACGGTTTTGACTAAACTTTCGCAAAACCGTACTTTCTGGCCTTGCGTGTATGTATGTAATACTGCTTCTTTCCGACACTCTATATGTACTATAAGTGCACATCTGAGTCTACCCAATCGCAAAATTTAGCCGATTGGTTTTTTCTACTGTGATAGGGCTGATTTTTGGCTGGCGGATGGAAGAAGTATTATACGATATTGCTGAACTTACCCAACAGACGACGAGGTCGTGGAGAGGTACGAAACGCTAGCGACAGAGCCTTTGGTCGCTGTCCGCCGCTACCTGTATCCCGACGACTACGCTGCTGCGCTATCTGAAGCGCAGCATTATACAGCGGCGAATTTCGCGTGGCCGTCCTACACTTACGCCTGATCACGAAGTCCGACGCTTATCCTGGGCATTGAGCCATGGGGATCGTCCTATCGGTACGTACTATTATTGATTTATTCTTCATCAATTGACAGTTTAGGTAATTGTTTTGCTATCATATTTAATTGTCTTAGGCGCCAAGGTATATCGTGTCCACCACATGTAGGATATGGTACATGTTGACGAGAAGTGGGTCAACTTGTACAAGGCCAACAACTAGTGCTATCTTGCCAAAGACGAGGCTCTGCCGTACCACATGTGTCCAAACAAGAGGCACATCGGCAAGGTAATGTTTTTGGCTGCAGTTGCCATCCCTCGCTTATGCTTTTGACAAGAAGCGATACTTTGATGGCAAAATAGGCATTTGGCCGATTGTCGAGAGGACAATTGCTCAAAGAAGCTCGCGGAACCGCCTCCTGTAACCAAGAACATCTCCATGACCGCAAAGTAAACACCAAGATGCTTCGCGATAAGTGATCTGGTACGTTTGTTTCAATTTATAATGTTGCACTAACCTATTAAGTTGCTGTTATGTTGCTGGATGCTGCGCTACTGTTGCAGGAAGGAAATCTAGGGTCATCAAGGTGCAGCAAGACAATGCTGGCCCACACGTACAAGTCGATAATGCAGATATTGCCGAAGCCGGCCGAGAGAATGGCTAGAATATCCAGATGGTCAGCCAGCCACCGCGACCGCCTGATATGAACGTGCTGGACGTCGGCTCTTTCCATTCGCTGCAGTCACTGCAGTACAAGACACCCACGTTTCCAACCGATGGCCAAATCGCTGCAGTTAAGGCTGCGTTTGCTAAGATTAGTGTTTATACTTTAGATAAGTGCTTTTTGACACTGCAGAAATTAGTAGGCAAAATAATTGCTTGCAAGGGAGGCAAAAACTACAGCCTCCCTCGTGTTCGCAAGCATCACATCCACAATGGTGTCATCCGGATGCCATTGCCAGTTGACGTTGCAGTTGTTGACGCCGGTTTTCGTCAGTTGAGCCAACCACAATGGACCACCTAATTTTTTGCATTCTGTACCGCATTTTTCACTTAATTCCTTATCGTACACCGATTGGCTTTTTTCTGTCTCCACTTTCACAAAAAGCAAAGTAACAGGAAGTAAAATCTCGTTCCGTGTCGTTCAATTTTGAGGTCTTAGGGTCTTCTGTAGTACTTCCTAGAGCGTATGTATGTCACTAATCAGTTGAGAAAACATCGAGGAAAAACGCGATGAATTATCGCTAAAAATTGATTGAACTACAACAATTAACCTCATTTCTCATCCGAGCATGTATGTTCAAGCGCTGTTTTATCTTCTTGGTGAGTGCAAACTACGTAGCCAATCTGATAGCCTTGTGCATCGCGTCTTGCTCCCTCGATCAGTGCATTCAGATCCAGCTAGCTCTCAAAATTGGGCCTGCTACGCCTACCCCCAACGATAGGGCCATTTTGGAGTGGACCAGATAGTAGTTTTCTAAAAAAAATAACCTCCCTAGTCAATTGATCGTTTTAGACAGGATAGAGGATCAGTGATTGCTCGCTGCTCAAACCTAACTTCTTCTTCTACCACTTCAACGCGATCTGCGAATAAAGCTATGCGAGCGTGGTTCTACACCAAGTACGCCCACATCGTCTTGCTCTATTCCACACCACCCTTGTATGCTAACCTGAGCAATCTTTAGACACGGAGGTCCTAGCGTCATGCAAACGGGTGACCAGCCGGACCCTGAGCTGCGGGGGCCAAAGGACATCGTGGTGAAAGTCCACGCAGTCGCGCTCAACCCAGTAAGCTCGCTGGTGTGCTGTTTATCCAACATGGGCTCCGCCAGTAACTGTTGTGAAATACTATCACCAACGGCAGATTGACTACAAGCGGCGTCAGGGCGTGCTGAAGATGCTATTGAAGGAGAAGTGGTGAGCACCCCCGTATGCCTTGAAACTGGTAGAAAATGCGCTGACGAGGAATCATATGACAGGCCACACATTATCGGATACGACTTCTCGGGTATGGTGACCAATTGCGGAGACAGCGTGGACAAGTTTGCTGTGGGCGACGAGGTGTTCGGCATGCTACCGCACGACAGCAACGGAGCCCTAGCAGAGTACAGTGCTGCTGTTCCTTTCGAGCTTGCTCCTTGGTGGGGTGCTAACTGTTGGTGCTCTCATGTGATAGCTTTGTCGTCGTGGAAGCGGAGTATATCAGCAAGAAACCGTCGAACTTGACGTGAGTGGATAGATTGCGCTGGAGTCGATCGGGTGATTAACGATTGCTATGCTTCTGCTACATGCAAGGCATGTGGAGGCCGCAGCTCTACCTCTGGTGACGCAAACAGCGCTACAATGCTTTCGACTGGGACAACTAGCTGAAAACAAAAAGGTGCTTATCACCGGCGGGGCTGGTGGCGCTGGATCCATGGCTATTCAAATCGCCAAGACTGTTTTCAAGGTGAACTGACCGATTCAGTTGTCCATACGCCCGTGTTTAAGCTGAACATATTGCATTTTGCAGGCAAAAACTGTTGCCACAACTGCAAGCACGAAAAAGCTGGAGCGGATGCGACTGCTTGGTGCGGATGAGGCGGTGGACTACGGACACGAGCGTTTTGAGCGCGAGCTGGCCGAGTATGACTTCGCTATGGACTGCACTGGAGAGGTAGCAATTCGCATTTTCAGTGTCAACACAAAGCAAGCTAACCCATTAGTTGTGTTGACTAGGCCAAGCAGTGTTTCGAGTGCATTACACGTGGTGGTGCAGTCGTCTCGATCGCAGAGACACCGACCTGGAAATCCCTCTCAACTGGTGACCTCCAAGGTTTGACCGTGTCTTACTTTCTAGGTTTTATCCTGGACTGCTTGAGCAGCTCTGTCACGCGTCGCGCGCGTCTAGCTCAAATCACGTACGAATACATGTTCGTCGTGGCCGATGGAGCCGTTATGGGCGAGATCCGTCAGCTCGCCGAGCAACGCTCCATTACACCGGTGATCGACAAGGTTTTCCCGTTGGAAAAAGCCGACATGGCAATGGAGTACTTGGAGGCGGGGCACGCAATGGGAAAAGTAATCGTGCAGCTCGTCGATACTACTAAGGCTAGCTAAAGCATCTTGATTCTTTGAATGAGTATGCAGTAGGAAGTAACAAGCATGCAGTATTTGACAAACGCTTTTTCTATTATTCAACGTGACTTTGTCTCAGTCTATCAAGTCTGCTTCCGGTACATCTAGTGGGGCGTGCTGCCGTATCGCGGTGTTCTTCTTCGCGAACGCGTACTATATACTGCACGCGGAGTGGCATCTGAAGCCAGAACGGCTTCTGTGGCGTCAACCTTCTCTGTCTTGCGACTTTGTGAGGAGAGCACGAGGCACGTGCCACCGATGACGAGGGAGGCCCCAACAAAAGTGTAAGGCCCAGGCATAACATCCACACCCATGGCGATACCTTGAGCTGTGGCTACGATGGGCTCCATCAGACACACAATAGATACGACGATCGGATCGAAGTATTTCATCACACCGATGTAGCCCATTGTGCCGATACCATCACAGATGAAGACGAGGTAGAGGACCACCAGCAGTCGATTGACGGACGGGGTCAGCCATCCAAACACTCCATTGTACGGGTCAGTAGACAGGCTGAGTTCTTGACCAGAAGCCAGCATGTAACACAGCAGCGTCATGGCTGACGTGGCTGTGAGCCCACACAGGAACACCAACAAATGCATATGTGGACGAACCTTTTTGGCCAGCGTGAAGTAAAGAGCTCCTCCAGCGGCTCCAGAAAGTGCCATGAGGTCTCCAGCCGCAGTCGCAGACACTATGTTAGGGCCTCCCTCCGTCGTATCCATAGTGGTGACAGCACCTCCAACCACACCAATGGCAGCACCCAAAGCCTCAAACGCAGCTACAGGCTTCCGCTGCATGATCTTCCAAAACACAAGCAGCACTGAGTGCGCGTTGTTGAACAGCGTAGCGTGACCAACCGAAGTCATTGACAGAGCCACGACAAATGATCCCAAAAAGTACGCGTACGCCACTCCAGCCACGAGAACGGAAGGAACCAACTCCTTCCAGCTAGGACCATGCGGTCCATCATTACCGCGGAGAAGAATTGTCAACGCGAAAGGAAATGTGACCATCGACGTGGCCATGTTTCGCCAGAAGATACGAATCTCTGGAGTTACCACGTCGTCCACCTCATCCAACGCAACACCTACAGACGAGATGGTGAATAGAGACGACATGAGCAGCATGTAGCCGATAACGGGAGCCTGACGTTTAACCACGACTGTCACCTCAAGATTGTCCTCGAACCCGCGGGTGTTCAGCTGGATCTGTGTGATATCTGACGGCAGAATCGTTGCCTTGTGTAGTGGTGTCAATGTTGCTCGTGGGGTCACCAAACTTGCGGAGAGGGAAGCCTCATCGTCTTCATAATCCAGCTCATGTTTGTCTGGTACAGCCAGAAAGTACTCGGACATACCTGACCCAGGAGGTAACACACCAGACGGATCACTAGGAGTCATTTCAATCAGGTAGGCATGGTGGTTTGAGTTCTCCTCAACCGTCTTAGATGTCTCGTCATCCATTGGAAACAAGAGCACGAAAGGAGACAACTCCTCATTTTCGAACGCAGAGCCTTTGCTGTCCATGAATGAGCGTGCGGAGAATGGAGATCTCGCAGAACGACTTGACCACAGTCCTTTTGACCGCCCACTGTACGATAACAGCGGTCGAGCTTCGGAATCATAAGGGCCACTGGGACTCAGCCCCTCTACGCTCTCATCGGCTCCTTCGGCTTCATCCTCTGGATAATCTGAATTGCCCACACCTACAACGAAACCCTGGAAAAGCTTGGAGCTGTCCGTATTGCCAGCAACACGAAGCGACATGTCTGGGTCAGGTGCTGACACTCCGATAACCACGTTCTTCGTCAGAGACGGATCTCCGATAGGCGTCGAAGCCAAGAAGACCGTCCAGGGAGATAATTTCGCCGTACCATCCGTGTCTTGAGTGTAAGCTAATTGCTCCTCCGTTTCAATACTAAACCATGTTTCTCCAGCCGTCGGGAGGTACGTAAGACGGCTTGAACTCGAAGATATCGACTTGGGAGTGAAACTATCCAACGCTTCAGCGAGAGAGAAGTAGCTTTTCTGTCTAGCGAGCGCGTCCAACGCATCGAAAATGCCCGGTGAGCTCAAGAACAGACCAGCATCGATACCGTCGTAGACTTCAAGGTCACGACCGATGTGGGTCACATGTTGGTTATCCTCGTTAATCTTCACCTTGACTGTAGTCGGCGGTAGACCCGTTAGCTCCTCAATATCCGTCTCCACCAGCACACACGCGACTGCATCTCCTAGAGGATACGCTGACAGCTTAGACACTACCGACTTGTCGAAAATGTGATCAGCTGTATGGATCAAGAACGGCTCCAGACCGGGGAACATGCTCCTCGCTGCGAGAATGGACCGAGCGTGTCCGTCGTCGTTCTTTCGTCCTAAATCTAGGAACTCGATCTTCATCTTGGTATAGAACGGCGTTTGTTTGACTGCGGCCATGATCTGACCTCCAGCTGCAGCGACCGACACCACCACTCGCTCCACACCAGCAGCGTAGAGCTGCGTTAATATGTGACTGATGATGGTCTGTTGGCCTAACTGAATGAGGCACTTGGGGCGTTGGTTCTCATCCAGACTGCTGGGTCGCACTGCGGCAGTGAGAAGCACTTGACGCACTGCAGGACGTCGCGACGTCGGGGTTATTGGCAATGGGGCGGGCTGACGCGCCGCTGAAGGACGTCCAGGGGGTAGTGGCGGCAACGCACTGGAACGAGGAGGAGTCGGACGAGAGCTCGGGGCCTCGTCGACGTCCACTTCCACTTGATCTGGAGAGCTAACGGCGTCGTGGCCCACGGTCTCGAATGGAACGTTCTCACCGGCATCGACGATGACGCCCTGAATCTCGGAACGGGTGGGATCTGCCTGGAATCCAGAGAGAAGCTCCGTCTCGGGGATACACAGCAACTGGCTCACGCGCTGCAGGTCTAGTGCGTACACGGCTGTAGGCACCTCGGCCTCCACGTCCATGGGTCGACGCTGCACCACCATGCCGCGCTGGATTTGGTCTGAGTGAGAAGCGGTCAAAAGAGAACTGACACGGAAGCGACTGCCTGGTCACACTGGGAGGGACAAGCAATGGTAACGGTTAATTAACTTGATTTTTGTATGGCTCAGCGATCCTAGTCAGTGAACTCCGGACCTTGCAACATGTGGCTGTTGCGCAGCACCGGAGCGAAGCGAAAGCGTTGGTGCAGGTGCTGCCAATGAAGATGAGATTTATAGGCGTTATTGCTGCTATCTATGTATTGCACGCTGCTACGCATTATTGATCGGCGCTGGCATGTCTGCTGTCCAATGTGGTCTGCTCAAATAGTACCCAAAGCGAATTTTCTTGTGTTGGACGTGCGGTATGGGATTCGCAACATCATCGGGTTAATTGAGGGAGCAATACTCGGCAATAAGTGCCTTCGTCTAATAGTAGGCACTTCACCTCGCATTTGGCGCCAATAGCGCTCCCGACGTCTGCGATTCCTCCGCCATTGCCAGGACTGTAGTGGATGACTCAGAGGATCCGCGTCTTTCCCATCCAATGGTCTTAACTTCAACTGCAGACTGCAGTCGAAGACTTCAGTGCAAAAACGCATTGCCGTCAAAGGAACTATCATAAAGGGCATCATACAGCCTGCGTCTTCAACAGAACTCTATCGTCAACGCGAAGACCGGTAGACTTGAATCGCTATTGCGATATTAATTGACGCCTAAACGCATGGCGTCCTTCGTATGCAGCAGTGTCCTCGACGATGTTACTTCTATACGTTGAAGTCATCTCACACGATGTGGATTGGATGAAAAAGGGATACTCTTTCGTCCAATCACCGTCGTTAATTCATTCATGACTTGCTTTTTGTAAGTCCCTTTACTGCCAAACCAAAACGCCTCTCTCCACAAAGCACGAGAGCTCGCCACGCAGCCGCATCGTCGGCTCCCCGCCGCCCCTCGCGCGTCTCCCAAGCCCACTCCGCCTCCTCTAACCAGCTACGCGCGTAGTCCTTACTGCCACCTCGTGTCCGTGCTCTTCTGGCGCTGGTAGACTGGTTCTAGCCTGAGATCTGTGGCCAAGAACAAGTTCGAATTGCCGTACCGAGAGTTCGGATGCCCCCAGGGCTGCCACTTACTGCCAAACGGTGCGTCTTGGTGTACACCATGCACGTCCTATATACTTCTCGCGGCTTCTGAGCAGCGTAAGCAGCCAACATGGCTGTATAACGCTCTATTGAAGCCTAAAACAGGGTCTAGATGCTCACAGTCTACCGGTGCTTCCCTTGCGCCCTACCATTTCCCCTGCTGCAATGTAGAACCGCTCGCCTATGAAAAAGAGCCACCCCATGTCGCCATCTCCCTCGTCAACGCGTGGCCCACGCTCAGTATCGCCGCCGAAAGGATCTCCAGTGCACGGAGAGGGCAAGATTTCACTGCGCGTAGATCAGCCAGTGGAGGGCTGCACGATGATGACGCACGCCTTCTTCCGCTCCGGAGACGGCGACATCGACGACAAGGATGTGGACATGCAATTCCACTGGTACAGGTCCTCCATGCGACGAGCATGTGCCAATAGTGAATGTACGCGCCACACCAGCGACGGTGCTGGCAATGTACTGCTTCTTGTGGCCAAGATCGAGTGTGTGCAGTGCTGTCGACTGGGCATTTCGAGGGAACACTCGTGTTTCTGCAGCCCAGACTGCTTCCGCTTGGCCTGGCACAAGCACAAACAGCTGCACGATACACAGGCACTGGTCGAGGCGCAGCTACGACAAGGAATCGACTTTCCGTGGAAGTCGCAATTGCACAATATGGACACGTTCTGCCCGCTGCCGAAGGAATCGTGGGTCAAGGTGCAGGATGAAAAGTAGGGAACCGTGTCGTTGACCCCTTTGGTCGAGACTGAGTTTCTCACGCACATGCCGCTCTTGTCTTACAGTCGGTCGTACTCGCCAACCGCCGCGGACGTTGGCCATGTGATTCGAGTAGAGTGTAAGGCCACCAAGCGTGTCGGCGGCGGCGTGCTGACCAAGACAGTCGACACTGGGCTCGTGTTGCCGTGTAAGTGGTGCTCTTTGCTCTTCTAGGCTAGGTCACTTCCTCTCCTAGACTTTATAGTGTGCTGAAACTGATGACTGTGGTTCGACCAAAGTTCCGCCCATGCCACCAAGGCGGCAGATGCTGGCGAACGTGAACGAAGAGCGGCTGACACCGCGACTACGGCAGATTGGCGTCTTCCGCGTGCTCACGTACAATATCCTGGCCGAGATCTACGCGACACGGCAGATGTATCCGTACTGCCCGATTTGGGCTCTTAGCTGGTCGTTCCGGAGAGAATTACTGAAGCGCGAGTTGCAGTCGTACAATGCCGACATCATTTGTCTCCAAGAAGTGCAAGGCGACCACTACAAGAGCTTCTTTGCGCCGATGATGGAAGAATGGGGATATGAAGGCTGGTATCTGAAGAAATCACGTGAGTCCATGGGTCTTGAGGGCAAAGTGGATGGCTGCGCTCTATTTTACAAGCGCAATCGCTTCATTCTGAAGGAACGGTACCCAGTTGACTTTAATGAGCTGGCGAACGACTTTCTCAAGCAGGTGCAGACGGAGTACGACCTAGACTACCAGGGTCCGTCGATGGCTGCGCGTGAAATGTTCCTGTCAACGCTTAACAAGATGCGGCAACGCCTTCAGCGTGACAATGTGGCGCAGATCACAGTGTTAGAGGTGGTTCCAGCGAACAACGAAATGGTTGCACGAAAGTCTCAATCTGGACCGTTGATCTGTGTCGCGAACGTGCATATTTTCTCCAATCCCAAGTTCCCGGACGTTAAGATGTGGCAGACAAATATGCTGGCGAAGCAGGTAAGTGCTTAACACGCTGGGGACAAAAGCAGGATATGAACTGACGTCGTTTCTCGTTGATTGTCGTTGTGACAGCTTGAACGGGTGACACTTAATCGCAACTTGCCCACGATATTATGTGGAGATTTTAACAGCGAACCTTCTAGCGCTGTGTACGAGTTTATGACTCGTAACCATGTTCCGCTCGACCACCCCGACATTCAGCATCCACCACCTCAGCTCGCAAACATCTACGCGTCGCTCAATTTAGAGCACAACATTGGCTTTGCCAGTGCTTATGCTTCAGTGTTTGGAGCTGAACCAGAGTATACCAACTACACAGGTGCGATCAGTAGGATTGGATGTGATTATAGGAGGTCTCTAACTGAAGCGTTATTGCTCGTTATCAGGTCACTGGACAGGTGTGGTGGACTACGTATGGTACACACCGGAGACGCTGACTCCGTTCGCCGGGCTGAAGGTACACCCACCTGAAGTGCTCGAGGCCTATTCAAAGACGGCGCTGCCCAACTGCCAGTTCCTATCGGACCATATTCCTCTGTGTCTAGACTTTAGCATTAAGGCAGCCGCCATCAACAATGGAAGATACTGATAGAAGAACTCTAGAGTTTCATGTGTGCAATGCTTCGCCCTCCCGCAACAGAGTGCTCCAAGCAGCACCATAATCAGCTTCAAGTCGGACCACAATGTGACGTCTCTACAATTGCCAAGTCAAAACATGTCTCACTTGCGTCACCATCTGTCTATTGTCACAAAACCATCGTCACAATCACTCCTTGTACTTCACCCCCAGAGCTACAGTTACGATGCAGACGTCGCAGGTGTACGCGGTAGACCGCGTGTACGGCGACCTGCAGCCGCAGTTCGTGGCCAAGGACGTGCTCAAGGCTCTGTCCCAGCTGGATGCCGTGGTGGGGGACGTGTTTAACCGCCTGGTGCATAAAGTTTCGCAGGAGAAGGAGCGTGTAGCCGCTGTGGACAAGCGCATCCAGGTGTGTCAGGCCAAGGTAGACGCGCTCACGGCTCGCCGCACCAGCAACAAACCCACTACTGTCTTCTCCACTTCCAAGTATCCGGCGCCCAAGCAGCTACCGCTGCCCAAGACACTCTTCCACGACAAACCGTACGCTGATGCCCCACCGCTGGTGCCTGATGCGGACGACGACACGCACTTCCTGCCAGCCGAGCCGCTTCCCCCTGCGCAAAGAGGACAACACGTGGCTGAGGTGGTGGAGCTATTCGAGAAGGTTAATGAGTACCAGAAGACGCAGCAACCGGAGGCAGATATGGAGAAGGAAGGGCTGGGTAGATTACCTGAGTACATCCCGTCCGTGGGCAGCGTACTGCTTTTCAACTCCGGGGAGAATCCGTACCAAAAGGTAAGGGCAGTGTTGAAAGGAGACGCTGAAGATGTTGACTAATGGCTGTGTTTGTTGTAGTACACGTCGTGGGATAATCTATTGGGTACGGACTATGAAGAAGAAGAAGAGAAGCGGAAGGAACTGGCCAAGGCTCCACGCACGATCGAGTACGGAGACGAACTGGTACGTGAGAATCGCTACTGTATCTATGTGGGTATATTACTGATAATATATTTACTGCTGGTTTCTAGCCGGCCGTGCACGGACTCAATTACGAGTTCCACCCGTCGATGGGCACCATGCCCGACATGTCGGCGAAGCTGCCGACGAACTTGCCGCTCGAGAATATCGCCGACTACAAGTACGCGCAAGAGAACAACACGTCCATCGCGCCGTCCATGTTCCAGGACAAAACGTTGCCGGATTTACCTGCAGTTGCAAACTTTGAGGAGGGACCTGTTGCTCAGGAGCCATCGGAGCAGAATTTCCAGGTGGGCCCGGTCGACGGTGCTCCTCCCCCGCCTCCACCGGCGCCTACTGTGGACTTCACCAAGATCGAGGATGATGCTCCACCCCCGCCGCCTCCTCCTCCTCAAGAAGACGATGAAGATGATTCTGCTCCACCTCCGCCCCCACCACCAATGGCCAATGGAGAAGATGAAGATGCGCCGCCACCTCCACCGCCGCAAGAGGTATGGCTTTTGAATGAGTTGCTGGTAATGATACAATTTACAAAAGCTGACAACTACCTCTTCCTGTATAGGACGGACCCCCAACACCATCAGCCCCGGAGGAAGACAATCAGCCACCGGTCGTCAGCTTGCTGGACCAGATTCGAAACCCCAACATTAAGCTCCGAAAGGCAAGTGCTTACATAGTTAGTACCCCGCTGTGCCACTCAGTTTACTAACTTCTTCTTCTTCTGAAACACCATGACAGGTGGACCCGGATGAAAAGAAGGCAGACCCTATCGCGAAGACAGGAGAGACCGCTAATAAACCGCTGACGATCGCTGAAGAAATGCAGCAGAGAATGCTGCGGCGGCAGGCTGCTATCAGCGGCAAGCAGGACCAGATGGAGCAAAGGCGCGAGCGAGAAAAGGCTGCTGCGAAGCCTGTGACAGTGCTGACTGCGAAGGAAGTGACCGCTCCAGTGCAACCTCCGCCGCCCCCTCCTCCATCCGACGGACAGCAACACAATAAACTACCCACACTGGCCATGTCAGACGACGGCAGCGACGATGACCGCGGCCACTTTTCTGACGACGACAAGTCCAACGACGGTGACGATTTCTTGGCCCAAATCCGAAACATCAAGAGGAAGCAGGAAGAGGGCCCTACTCAGCCAAAGCAACCGGCACCACCCCCGAAGACGGAAGATGTCAAAAACCCAGTGGCGAACTTTGAATCGGTGCGTGTTCTCCTTGAGCAGTTAGTTGTCTTCGGGTGATTGGAATCTAACACTGTTGTGCTTTGTTTGTGTGTAGCAAATGATTGGACTACGGAACCGTGAAGATTCTCTAAGCATGTCGGAAGCCTCAGACTGGTCGGACGACTAAGTGCATAGGATACACGCGAAGTTACACTGATGGCTTCTTCAGGTCGAATGTTGCAGCTGTCACGAATCAATCTTGGTATCGCCAACGTTTTGCCAGTCTGTTTCGTGTGTTGATGATCGCGGTGTTTGTATCTAGATTCGTCGTGGCTCCTTCATTGTCTGCTGACTCGTTGTTCTTCAAGTGACAGTCACAGGTGATACGACCACATCTAGAGCACATAGCAGAGTCTGGATCTTCTCGGAGATCGGTCTTCGGCAGGCGATAGTGAAACGAGTACTCCTGAGTGATCCCGTGCATCTTCTGGACTGCCTCGTTAAACCCCTGGAGGATGCTGGAATCGCGCTTCATCTCCATCATCACCTCGCTCTGCTTAGCTCGTGACTTAGCTGCATCTTCAATCGCTTGCTCCAGTTTGCGCTTGATGAACTGCTTCTTCTCAAACGCCAGCACGCCCAGTTCTTCCACTTGGCGTTTAGCGAGCGTCTCCTTCTGTAACACTTGAAGGTCTTTGCGCTCACGCATAATAACATGTTTGCGCACATTCCGCGTGCCCCAACGAATACGCTGCCGTCGAATCCTCCGAGATTTTTCTTCAGCAAACATCGCACCCGCTCGTTGTAGCTCCATGTCGCGATAAGCCTCGAGTTCCATGGTTTCGTTTAAGATGCACTCTTCCATGTCGCGCTCCAGATCTTCCAGCTCAACACGCAAGTCATCGATCTCCTCCTCATACTCCCGTACCTGTTGCTTCTTGGAAAGAATATCTTCCAGACTGAGCTCAAGACTGAAGTGCAGTACATGTTTCTCAGTCTCGAAAGCTTCACCCCACCCTCGATCCATGTCTTCTTCAGTAAGTTGGCTCAATTCTTTTTCAACTACCGGTTGTCGTCGCTCCCATTCAATTCGCATCTCCTTCATCTCCTTGATCCGCCGCAGCATCTTGGCCTTGTACTTCATCACACGTTTCAAATCGGCACGCGCGTCGAAAATGTCGAGCTCGATCATTTCACGGTCCTCTTTCAACTGGGTGAGTGAAGTTGCCTTGCGTTCAATCAAGGAGCAGAATCGAAACTCTTTGAGCTGTTTGCGACTGCAATAACTTCTCCAAGCGGCTTGGACGGCAAGTGCAGCCTTCCCGTAGCGTGCCTGGTGTGTCAGACGACGATAGTTTAGCTCTTGCCTTGCTCGGTAGCAGAGATAGCAGCGTTGAATTCTCCCAGCTGCGGATTCCCGAAGCGCGAGTCGAAAGCCACGTAACTTCGCTCGAATCGTCTTGATGGTGGATCTCGAGCGCCACATTTGCTGCAGCGTTATTGCAGCTTCAATCTGGTCGCGTGTGCCTTCTAGTCTCTTTCGCACAATGTAGCCACGAAATACGCGTTGGATTCTTGCGGCGGATGGTTCCAATACACGTCGAAAATACCGCTTTCTCTTCTCGCGCTCAATGAATTTCCTTGTGAGAATACCTCGAGCGATTGAACCAATTTGTGACGCCATTCGATCCATTCGCCGCAACTCCATAAGATCCACCCACTTTCGGAAGAACCGACGAGAGCGCCATAATTTCTGAATATTTTTCGCTGCTTTATCCATAGCGCGAATCTGCATCACTAGACGTCGAGCTAAGAAACCTCGGATCAACTTCTGGATTCGCAGTGCGGCGGGAACGTATACACGAGCCCTCTCTCTTTCTTGCCGTTTCACGTTAACCAGCACACGATCTCGCTGTCCACGCCATACTCGCTGGATATATAAGCATGCCGGAATGATGACTTGTTGTTTATGCTTGGCTAAGAAGATACGTTGAGCTCGACGTCGACCCATAAACCCTCTAACGAGTTTCTCCATTATAATCGCATTAGCTTCCAGTTGACGTATTCGCTGGGCGTGTTTTCTTCCAACAAAACCACGATATACTCGTTGGAGATCGAGTGTGGCGCGTTGGTATCGTATTCGCATCGCCTTGGTCTCATATCTGGACTTGTACGATCGATAGACTGACTGGATGATAAGCACAGCGCACGTGACAACGCGAAAAAAAGCCTTTGCGTACTTCCGTCGTTGATGACCGCGAAATAATCGCTGAAGTGTCATAGCACCGATATGGCGATGAAAGCATCGTCGTAAAGTTTTACTGTGCATGTTGCTTCGATATAGCTGCTGTAATTTGATGGCTACCTGCACATACTCGCGTCGACGTTTAAGATATTTTTTCACGAAGGTGCCTTCTGTGTTCTTAGTGAGCTTCTGGAAAGCGATCGAGTCTGCTCGCCCTTGAGCCATCTTGGCTTGCTCCTCAGCGATCATGCGTTTCACCTCAACGGGCAATCCATGGTAAAAGTGTGGCACCGACTCCGTCTTATGCGTGGACTTAAGCTCCTTCTGGTTCAGTGATACCAGCTCAGAGAGACCTCGAGATACTGGAAGCACCCCCTGATTCACATTAAATGCTCGGTCATTGGCAAGATGACTCAGACCGAAACGCTCAGTGAAAGACCGCTCGATCTCCTGCCTACTTTGTCCAGCTCTCCACTGAGTCGACGTTTTTGCACATACTGTCAAGTGACATTCCAACGATCTCCACACTGAGAGAGCAATAACATTGTCTCCAATAGTTGAAAACCCACACAGTTGCGACTTAACTGTTGGCCATAACATACCGGGTTGCTGGTAGGCTAGCTTCGTATCCATGTCGTCTTGTGCATTAGCTGGGTTCGGTGCTGTTTCCAGTAGCAGTCTGTAGATCAATTCAAGTCGCTCGTTCTGCGTCATCCTTTGAAATCTATCCGACACAACCACTACTTGGAAGTACTTGATCAACTGCAACGGTAGTTCGCTTTTCCGCACACTCAATCCTGTGAACGGATTTGTAACATCTCGTGCCTTGGCAGCAGCATCAAGCGCAGTCATTGCTGCCTTCTCTGTATCGAAAAAGCCCACTGACTTGATTGTAACATCTTCACTGGTGAGTCTCGGCATCGTGTGCCACGTGCACTTTAGTAGTGCGTCAACGGTGGATTTCCGACAGCATATTTGGTACATCTTAACCTCCCAGCGGATCTTGCCCTGCTTCTCCTGCTTGACAGATCTGTACCAGTAGCGTTTGGTGCCCAACAGTCTATATTGTAGTCTTGCACAGCTCACATCAGTAATCTCAAGGTGAACCGTGGCCAGAGGCTCCTCTAAAG